TATATATATATATATATATATATATGTATCTATATACACTTTATTGTAATCGCTCGGAAACCATATATACCATACACGGTATATATCTATCTACTGTATCTGTATCTCTATATATATATGTACTGTATATGCCTTTTTGTTGTTTTCTGTTTTTTTTTTCACCCAAAATGTTTAGCGACTGTTTCATAACTGTTCTACAAATCTATATGTTATATATATATAGTACACTCGATTTTGTGCGGAAGACTACATTTGTTATATATATATATTCTATTTGTTATTATATATTTATAGTTCTGTTTACTGATAGTTAATAGTTTTATTAGTTTTTGTTGACACTTTGCTCAGATGCTGAGCAAAGCTTTGGCTAGTCCAATAGAAATCATGCAAATATAAATATATATATATATTGTATACAGATTATACAGCTTATAAACTTTATATATATACTGAAGAGCTCATACTCTTTCGATCAGCTTGGAAATGCGATTTGGGAACTTGTAACTGCGATCGCTGCTCTACAAAACTGTATAGAGCACGTCGAGCCTAGCATCGATTCTAGTAAACATTATCCAAAAGACTCTTAAATATATATATATATATGTATATATAGGTGTGTGTATATATAATATAAATATGTTGTATTCGTGCATGCACACCCTCTCCTGCTGCTGCTGCTGCTGCTACTGCTTCTGCTCTCTTCTCTCGTTTTTAGTTTGAATATATATCACAATTTAGTCTTTTAAATCTTTAATTCTACGGCGAATGCTCGATGGCTCTTCGCTCTGTCGCTATCAATTTATAGAATTCTGTTTGAGATTATGCTTAGAGGGGGGTTGGGGGCGTCTCTTAGCTGGCATAGGAACGACGCACGGGTACAGGTGGAGGAATTTTGGATTTGCGCTGCTGCGATGGCTGCTTCGCCTGCTGCTTCTGTTGTTGCTGCTGCTGCTGCTGCTGCGTCAGCTTCTGCGTCTGTTTTGGTGGCGAGGGCGACGAAGGCGTTGACGAGGAGCAGGATGAGCTTGTGGAGGAAGTGGTTGATGTCGTGTGTATGCATGTGGGTATACGTGTGGGCGGCGCCTTTTGCTGGCAGCTCTTTGGCAGCTCCGTGGTTGTCTTTGTTGCCTCCTGCAAAGATTTTACTATATGAACTCGTATTCCATGTTTGGGGCAATGAAGCACCTACCTTTTTGGCTGACCCGGCAACTGGCGAGGTGACACGCTTCCAGCCATTGCTGCGCCGCCAGGAGTTGCCAGTTGGGCTCGGAGCATGGCGCTGCAGCAGGCGCTCCTTTAGCTTGGATACCATTGCCGGGGATGGGGGCGCCTCCTTGGCCATTTTGGCCATCATCGCGCAGCTGATGCTGTCGCTGCGCACCACGCTGGACTCGAGCTCGCGGCGCTGATTGTGACGCAATATGCAGCTGGGCTCCTGCTCCTCCAGCACCGACTTGGACTTGACCAGCACGTGGGGCGGGCGCCTCAGCTCTGTCTTGATGATTTGTGCAATGCACTGCTGTTCGTTGAGAGCAGGAGACGAGTTCTTCACCATCGGCACATCCTCGATCTCGATGTCGCTCACACGTCTTCGGCATTCCTCAATTACAGCGTAATCATGTTCCTCCTCCTCCTCCGCCTCCGCCACCGCCTCATCCAATTGTTGTTGCGGTGGTGGTGCCACAGAGTGTTCATCGGTTTCGCTGGAGGAGCAGCTGGTCAGTTGGGCACGTCCCGCCTCGCTGGGCGTCGGACTGACACGCTGCTTGATCTGGCTCTCCGACATGCTCGAGTCCTGCTCGTCCTCTTCATCCTCATCGTCCTCATCATCAGTCTCGCCTTCCAGATAGGAGAAGAGGCTGCGCGAGGAGTTGGGCCGTATGTTGACGAGCTTATAGAAATCGTTGGTAAAGTCCGTGCAGGCAACCTCCTCATCCTCCGAGTAGACAAGCTGCAGTGGGCGGAAAATAAGTTAACGGTTAAGTTGAAAGCGAACTGAAGACCCGACTGACCTTCTGCTGCAGCAGCTGGGCAATGCCATCGGCGACAGAGTCGTCCGTCTCCACGGTCGTCGAATTGATGAAGTCGCTCGAGGGCCAGAGCCAGTCGTGCTCCCGCTTGCGCCGCTGCAGCTGCAGCTGTTGCCGATCGCGCTCATCGTCGAAGGTTATCACAGCCAGCTCCTCCTGCGACATGCTCCAGTCTTCCATTTCGGTTGAGCAGGGCTCGGCCGGCAGCAGCCACTGCTCCGGCTCCTCGGGCAGTCCTTCCAGGTGCCCATTCGACGGCTGCGGCTGTCCGCTGCTCATCGTGCAGTAGCCCTCGTCCCGCCCCTTCACCGGACTCGCCGACAGCGCTGCGTTCTGTGCCTCCAGATCGCGCACGCGACTCTTCAGCATGCTCACCTCCTCCCTCAGATTATCCTCGGCCACAATGGCGTCCACCACCTTGCGCATCACATCGTCCAGGCAGTGCTCGTACTGTCGTATTCGTGTGAGCAGCGCTCGATTCTCCTGCTGCATCGTATGCAGCAGACTCTCCTGCCGAGCAAAGCGTGTCTATGGGGAGAGGGAGACAGAGAGAGAGAGAGAGAGAGATATGTGAAGGCTTATTGGATATGAAAAACTTGTGGTACAGCTGCAGAGGTAGGGGCGTAAGTTATTTGGTGGGTTTCAGGTTCAATTTTAGGCTTTTCTCAAATGGAATCTCATCGTTCCGCTTAAGTCAGTTGCTTGACGTAGAGCTGAGATCCAAGATCATAAACGGAAGGAATGTCTTGCCCTTGGCCGATTTAGTATTAAATTTCATTAGTTGGTTAAACAGATAAGATAATCCTCTTCAAGGTTGGTTCGGTCATAAAACAAAGCTTATCACTGATGCGTTCCACCCGTTCCCTCAGCCTGACTCTCGACAATTATAAGCAAGTCTAAAAGAGCCTTGTTTAAACTAATTTCAATTTATAGTTCAATTTAGACCAAGGTTCGTTTTATTGACAGGGCAGTTTATGGGTTTCCAGCTCGATTTTATAGTTCAATTAAATTGGTAACTCCTAGTCTCACATCTCGGGTAGAGATCTACCCCCAACTCCCGGTGGCACTTGCATTGACGAGGGTCGCCCATTGCCGGCGATCTATTGTGGCACCGCTCCGGCTGTCAGTCAACTCAAAAGTGCTAAATGAACGACTTACATGCAATCAAATAGACCCACAAAGTGAGCCCGAGTGCCCCGCCCATTTGGGTTTGACCAGGTCTTGTTAACTGCCTCGAAGGTCGCTGCAACTCGTCGATTCGAGAGTTCGTGAGTGTGAAAAACCTTGGGCTTCATTAGAGTCGCTTTAACAAAAGAAAACCAAATTTACTCGACCTGAAGCTTAGCCAATGTCAGTTAGCACCGAATGCGCAGAGAAACAATTTCGTATAAAATCTTAACAGCCACCCACAGCGAGGGGGAGGGGGGCGCCTCTCTCGCCTGTTGGGCAATGAAAAGATGCCGCAGTTGAGCGCAGTGAAGCGTCTCTAATGCAAACGCTCAATCAATTTCCTAAAATGAAAAAATTTAAGCAAAAGACGCAGAAGCTAAGGAAATAAAACAAGTGAGTGTGCGAGGGCCAGAGGAGGAGCGGAAGAGAGAGAGAGAGAAGGAACAGTAACAGACTCAATGTTACCCAATAAATCGATAGGAGTAATGATATGTACCTATACTTTCATATTCTAGAATTCTTCAGAAAATTGAAAAGCTATTTGACCATTCAGATATTCTAACGGAAAATGATACTTATCGATAAAAATCGATATTTTTCTATAGTCCAAACAATGAGAAGCTCTTCAAAAAACCTAAGACGAAAAACTATGCTTCTACAGATAGAGCTGTTTATATTTATCGATAAATATCGATATTTAGGGATTTTTATAAAATGTATGAAATATAAATATTTTAATTTTAAATGTAAACTTAACAAACCGTGATATGAGAGCATATGCTCTTGTTGTATATGTATACCTAATAAAGTAGAGCCCATGCTCCACCTATTATTTATAGCAAAATACCTCCTTTAGTCATTTCTCATCAACTCTACAGGGTATTCGAAAACAATATGTCTGCTGGAGGAGAAAAAAGAAAACAATTTCAGCGCGTAGTCTCAGTTTTCTCAACTTCGCAGCCTCGGCCCAGATAAGCGACAATTTGTATGCACGAAATGGCAGCGAGGGGAGACATTGTTCTTAAAAATGAATTTATGCGTTTATTTATGACTTCGTTGAGAGTTCGTCTACGTCTTCGATAGCAACTGGCCGTCTTAGCAGACAGACAGTCGGCTTGTGGCGCCCCCCCCTAAGAAAACTCCACAACTTCCCCAACTGTGCAGCTTGAATAAAAACAAAAAGAGAGCAAAAGCGAAGCGAGAAAAGCTGAAAAGAAAAACTCTTTGGCCGCAGCGTGCAAATTGTATTTTCCACATGCTGCGCATTACGCGTGGGTGGCTCAAACAGTTTGTTGTAACTGTTGTAACAGAGCAGCATAATTTAGGGAAAATCTTTTTTAGAAGCTTTGATTTCAGATATTGCTTAAAGAGGAAAAATTTTATAATAATTTTGTAAAAAATATAAATGAACGAGGGCAGTTTAATCGGTAAGCAAAACTGACAACAAATAAAATTTATTTTAAATATTTTATTTTCAAGTTTAAGTCGAGTCTTCAGAAAAGATTTATTTTAAATATTTTATTTTAAAGTTTTAGTCGAGTCTTCAGAACTTTCATTTCAGCCCTCGCAGCTGTTGCTACAGCGCATAAAGCACAACATTAGCAATCGCAATAACCAACCCTACCTCCCCCCAATCGAGATTATATGTATGTATATGTGTATATCTGGGGTACATACCTGCAGGGCCTTGTGATCCCGACATGTTTGCAGTTGTTTGCGTTCTTTGGATTTCATAATGCGATTCATGCTGCAAGCGGAAGTGTTGTTGTTGGTGTGAAAGAGACAGCGTATGGAGAAGCGGGCAAGCAAATGTGTGTAGAAAAAGAGAGAGAGAGACAGAAAACAAAAACAAAAAAAGACATAAATAAATAAATGTTGTATGAAATGGTAGAAAAATAACAAGTTGCAAGTGTGTGTGTGTGTGTGTGTGTGTGTGTGTGTGTATACGCGTGTCTATGCTTATGTATGTATGTGTGAAAATCAAAGTTGAGCGCGAATTGAAAATTGGCGTAATTAGCTTTTGAACCGGAATACAAAGCAAGAACGAAGGGACGAACATTGGCACGGACGGCAGGACGGCGGGACGGACGGACTGTTGCTGCTGCTGCTGCTGCGGCTGCTGTTTTTGCTGCTGCGGCTGACTGATTGATGGCCGCGTCTAGGCATAGGCATGTTTCTAATGGCCAAGACCCAGGCCCTGCTGACTGCAAATAAATGCTTCCTGATTGCCAAGCTGTTCCAACTGCTGCTGCCCCATCCCCGTCCACCCTGCCCCTTGCGTCCTGCAGCTTGGCCAAGCCATTCGCTTTGCTTGAGTTGGCTCAGTAATTTGGAAAATTGCATTCAGTGCCGTTAACTTTGGCCAAGTCTCACTCTCTCTCTCTCTCTCTCTCTCTCTCTCTCTGTCTCTCCCTCTCTCTCTTGCTGGCTTCTTGATGCGTAAGTCGTTGAAGGCGTTCTTGGTCACGAATTTGGTATGAAATATATTTCGCGTCTGCTACGGCTGCTCGGCCAGCGCTAGGCGCAAAGAAACTCTTTCAAAAATTGCATAATTATGTAGCGGAAAATCCACAAAGAACATGGCCAAAGTAAACCCCTTTCCACACACACACACACACACACACACACACACACAGTACTGTCCCTGGCCAACATTTGAATTATAATTTCGTTTTACGCTCCACCCAAAATGGAATGCATAAAACATTTCGGGCAATTCTACTTTCTGGCAGCGCTCGTAAATATTTACGTATAATATTTACATAATTCTCTAATATATTATTTGTCCATGCTAAAAGTTTTCCTAAGTAATTGTTAACCTAGTCCTAAGCAGTTGTGGAACCTGAATTTCTAGCATAATTATAATCTGGTTCTGCTTTAAAGAAGCCTTTTGGGTATATATGTATGTATATTTCTAGTATATTCGGTTTCTATTCTAGTTCTATCAAGATAAGTTGGTTAATCGTTGGAACCTCTCTCTATATTAATCTGTTTCTTTATTACTTCCTTTTCCTATAAAGCACTTCCATTATCTGTAGCTATATGTTCTATATATATTTTCTTGTGATATTTGCCATTTCTTAAACTTCCGACAATTTAATAGCTTCCCTTGTTAAGTAGCTCTTATGTTTCTTCTACTTATCTAAGAAGCAGCTCGTATTATCTGGCTTACTTATGTTTAAGCTAGATATTATATATGTAAGCCTCTGCTTAGCTCTGTCTAGTTCTGCTGCTCGCGATCTGTAATATTTTGTAGTCTAGTGTTTTTCTGCTATCAACCAACTGTTGCTAGCTCTATTGAACTATATTCGAGAGCTAAACGCCTCTGATAAACCTCATAGATAAGCAATTGGAATGCTAGGCGGAACAATTACAAGACACTTGAGTGTTTCAGAAATACTTGGTCTACATTCCACTTGAACTGTCCTGCAGTACAAAGATTATGTTCAGGGTATAAAGTAAACATGAGAGAGCATATTTGCAAAGCGAATCATATGGGAGTGTCTAAAACTATTCGCAGTTAGCTCAAGATGTAGTTGACTTAAAATGAGAGCTTGGTGGACATAAAAATGGAGCTTAAAGGAGAATTAAACAGCTGGACAGCTTTATAATTAATATTTGAATGCCTTAAAATAAAGTTCTCTACTTATGACTGGCTGATAATAATAATAAATAGTATGCTAAGTATGTTTAGACTGGAAGGCAATTAGACATAGAACTACGGTAAAAAGTGACACTGGACGACAGTTGGGTTCGTTCGTATAATTAGTGATAATTACCAGGCTAGCTAATGAGCTAAGCAATCTCAGATTCAGATAGGGGCAAAAAGCAATGCCGGAAAACAGTTGCATATATGCAACCAATACTCAAGTAGCAGGGAAATACAGCCTTAAATTTGAGTTATTTTATATGCAGCTAATAAGTCAGGCCAGTCTAGACTGGAGGACAGCTTGAGAGCTAATTGAAACTAACGAAAAAGTGACCCTGGAGGATGCACAGAGGCATCCCTCATGTTAAAATAGTGTAATTGGTGTAATAGATAAGGAAATCAATTGAAATGTATATTTACACACACACACACATGCAAAACACACACACATACATTGGTAAAATGAACATTGATAATGTAACTTACTTTTCGATTTGCTCGCGCAGCTCCTTCTCGAACGTTGGCGACCCGCATTGGCTCTGGAAAAAGTGCATCAAAAAAGAAGAGGCAAGAGTTTGGGGTAGGGGAGGAGGGCGTTTATATAGATATACATATTATATGGTATATATACGTTAAACGAAATGCTTAAGTAATTAAACACAATAAATTGGTGCAGTTGGCCAATGATTAAGAGAGACAATTTAATTGCCAGATATCACGGAGACAATCAACGCCGACAGCTGATGGAAAGTGACAAAAACGAAAAGATAATACAGGGTATGCAGAGGGTTGGCTAGTCTATGTGTCCGTGTGTGTGTGTGGGTGAGTCTAAATGAAATTGAAATGCGGGAGAGAGATGCAAGACGACGTGAACCAGACACAAAGAAAGAGCCGACCTTACACGACACCCCCTCGACTCACAGGCCCCCCACACCATCCCCCTTTCGACTAGACTGCAAAGCTCTAAATGGCATCAAAAAACTTTGCTGCGAGAATGCGGAACAGCAGCTGAGCGAGAGGGAGCTGTATGTGTGTGTGTACTCTGTTGCATGCAACAATAAATCAACAGAGTCAACAACCGGCAGCCAGTGGCCCCACACGCCCCCGGCTCACCACCCCCGCTCGCCCTTTGGCTGTTGCGCTTTTGGCGTGAAATGTAATCGATAAAAAGTAACATCACGACGTTTTCATCCAACTGACGACAGCTCAGCACAGCTACAGCTACAGCTACAGCTACAGCTACATCAACAGCTAAAGATACAGATACAAACACATTGCCAGCTAGAGATACAGATACTTTGCTAGAAGTGGCTGAGCGCCAAGCGTTTGTAATAAATCGTTTTGGTTTTAGTGCAAATATAATGAATGACAACACAGCTTCGAGTGCAAATCAAATTGAGCTGCTTATGAGACGCGGTTAGGAGGGGAAGGGGGCTATATAAATAAGTAAACAAACAAGATTGGAGCTGGACTGGATGTTAGCTAGATAGCTAGATAGCTATACATATATGCATTTATACAAAATAAATTTGTTTAATATCAAGCACGACTTTGTCTATAGACAACGGACAGCATTTACTGCTTAAACACTTCCTCGTGCATCAAAGTTCATCTAGAGTGAATGAAACCAGTTTTGGGTAAATATTTTTGTACTTGAGCTTGGGCTGAATTCCGGGCAGAAGTGCTTTATTCTTACAAGAGATTGTAACAATTAAAGTACTGAAACACTTTGAAATAGGAAAAGGAAATGTTTAGGGAAATAATATTAGAGGTGTTGGGTATAAACTCTGAGATATCCTTGTGCAAACAAAGTATGATATATGATATATGACATGAATATACATATATATTATATGACATGAATATACATATATTCAATCATATATCATAGGTTTTTTTGCATTAGGATATCTCAGAGTTGGATTATCTAATATCAGTTTGCTTAGATGATGCAGTTAGGAAACTAAGTTCTCTAGGAGAGTATGTTTATACAAGGGAATCAAATCATATTAGCTCTATAAGAGTCAGTAGGAAAGATGCGTATACACTTTTCATTCAAATAGTTTTCCAAGTCATGCAATTTCATATTTAACATAAATAGAATTATAATACCCTATCTCAAATTTGAGTTTAAGCAGCTCTTAAGAATTTACAAGTACACCCATTTTCAGACAGGAACTGAGGTAAACTCGCCTCTCGAAAGCCCACTCACACTCTCTCGAATACCTTCAAAATTTTGCTTTGTATTAAAATAAATATTGCGAATACCTCAAAGGAAACTGCTCAAGTGAGAAGCAACATTCCAGGCCAGGCCTAAAAATGCCTTTGATATAAGACAAATATTTGTCTATAAATATATAAAGGACTCTTTGTATACCCTGTGGTAAGATTTTAACTCTTCTCCTGCTACACTTTCGCTTTCCCTTTCTGCGTCTCTTTCTCTTCCATCTTCTATCTCAGTCACGTTATTCACTCTCTTCAATTCATTCCACTTTATATGCTAATCAAAAATGTATCAACTTTTCCCTTATAATACGGCACATTGTTTTTGCTTATATGTAAAGTTTCCACATTGTAATACCCTATGTTTTCTATAGCGTCTGCTTGGCAATGACAATAAAAAGGCAGCAGCACGCGCGTAACAGAGCGGAAGGAAGGGGCGGAAAGCCAAAGCCAAAGCTAAAACCAAAACCCACATCCACAGCCACCCCCACTCCGCCCCCGCTCCCCCATCCACTTTGCCGCAATAAAGCTGAAGCTCGCTTACTGAATTACAAAATATATATGCAATAATTTTTATTAATTCGCCCTGGCATCGGGCGAAACATAATACAATATTAAAATGCTGCCGACACACAAAATTCGGTAGCTAGCTGGAGCCGCCTCTTATAACAACCCCTACCCCATCACAGCCGCCCCTGCTGCTGCATAGCTCGTCATCTTCATCTCGTGCCAGAAATCAGGCGCCAAATGGGCAAACGCGACTGCTGCGGCAGACTGATTGCCGTCCGTCTCCTTTGGCGCTCCCAGCAGCCAGCGCCCAGACAAGTGCTGTCAAGGGTGGGGGGAGGGGGGCAGGCGAAGAGGGGCGGCCGCCAACGAAGGCGCCACTTGTGCCTTGCGCCTTGTGTGCTGCTGGCTGCTGTGGCAGTGGCATAGAATGATGAACGTGTTAATAAAATTAGAGCCCAAACAGCAGGCGTGGTGGCGGCACTGTTTGTGCTCCCCACTCTGACACCCGCCTCCCCCTTTTTCTTAAGAAATGCTATTTTGGGCAACTGGTGCGGCTGTCAACAGCTGTTGGCCACTGCCACTGCACCCACAACAACAACAATAACAACAACAACAAAAGCGAGAGACCCCCACAAACTGTGGCGCATAAATATTCATTGTGAATTTTTGCTCATAAAAAAAGCAGAGCCTAGTCGAAAAGGGGGGGCAACTGCGGAGCTGGGGCATTTTTGTGGGAGTCCAGACTGTGCTGTGTCCATTGATAAACTCATAAAATCGAACCGGACTTTTGCTTATTAATTAAAAGCCACTAATAAAGCCTAGGCAAGCCAAGAAAAAAAGGAAAAAAAAAACAACACAAATTTCCATAAGTTTCAATTAGTCAATGACACCGGACTAGGTGAGTTAGGGTGGCCCAAAAAAAATTGGAAAACAACGAAATGTGATTGTAAGAAACGGGCTTAGGCAATTGCCCAATAGAGCTTTTTCTTAGGGTGGTTTAGACTGTCCCCAAATTGGACAAAAATTATTATAGAAATTTAGTAAACGAGCTTAACTAACTAGCTAATATTCATTTAGGATTTTGACTTAGCTCAAATACAAACTATATTTACTATAGTTAACTTAGGGTGGCTCAAAAAATCGTTTAGGTAAGATTTTGGATTAAAAATATGTCCACATGCTAACAATGTGCGATTAGGGTGGCCCAAAAACTGAATAAAACTGAATTCTGCCTGTAATATTTGCTCAAGGCTTAAAATACATATGTATATTTTCATTAATTTCAATTACTCAACGATATATGCCTAGGCATATAGGGGTGACCATCATCAAAAAAAGAGAAAAATCTAGTATGCATTTTTCCAATTAGGCTTAAGGGTTTGAACATAGCTCAAATTCAATTCAATTTTGCATAAAATTTAATTAGTCAATGACACACGTCAGGGCATATTATGGTGATACAAAATGTAAAGGTAAAACAAAAGTCTGCTCAAAGTGGGGCATAACCAACTATGATATACTCGTTTAAAGAGAACAAGTAAGAAGACTCTAGTCGAGACTGCTCGACTAGGAGATACCCTG